TCGACTTCAGAATTGTAAACTCTTTTAACTAACCCTTTTGATTGTAAGTTACTAAGCATTCTGTCACTTATTAAGTTAATACTACTACCCGTATCAATCAAAGCATTTTCTATACAGTTATAAGAAAATTCAGCCTTTAGTGTAGGTAACCCATTACTACAGTTAGTGTCAATCTTTAAGTTTAACCAATCATTATTGTTTAGCTCAAATTGATTTGCTTTAAATTTAGATTGTTTCTTAAACTTGCGTCTTTCAAGTAAGTTCAAACTTCTACCAATCTTTTTATTACTGTTCCCGGTGTGAATGTTTCCATGGGATGGAGCCCTGATTGGAGCCTTAACGGGTCCATCCCTCATCACGCGTTTTTTGGCGGACCATTTTTGGAATAGTGAGTTTGATTTGAATGAGTATTTTGATCTTGAGTGCGTGATGGGTTATTAATGCGTTTCCTACACTCCCTCGCCATGTGACCATAAATACCACAATAGTAACATTTTCTAGTAGCATTAGTATTATGTGTCCAAACCGGTTTACCATGATTACCTGGACTAGATGATTAAACTGCCTCTTCGCGTATCCTCATAGGCAACATTCTGCTCATGTACACACAATAACTCTAGTTCCTTAAAACTAGTGGGAGTTTCTGTTAATGCAAGACGGCTTCTAGTTGATTGATTCAAACCAATTATAATCAGTTTGACAATATCAAGTTCAGAATACAAACAATTCAACAGTTTAGAATTTTCTCTGATTTCTAAAATGTAACAACTTAGAGGCTCGTTATGTTTTTGTGGTCTATTTACTAGTTCTCGTTTCAGGTTTTCTCTTAACCCTAGAGGTACAAAATAGTTTAACAATAGGTTATGTACTTCTTCAATTGAGTGGCCTAACTGCTTAAATTCTACAACTTTACTGTACAGCGGTCCTGTTGTGTAACCTAGTATTACATCTAATATTTGGAAGTCTGAGAGCTCGGATTCTTTTTTAAGTTTCAGCATGACTTTAACAAAGTTTAGAAGTTCCCTAGCTTCGAGACCATCACAAGATTTTACATTTTTCAAATGTCTCTCAACAGGATTGGGGAGTTTAGCGTACACATTCAACTGTTCATTACAATGGGGCCTCTCATTAGCTTCATTAGAAATATTCAATTTAGACATTATATTCTGTTCAATTTCTTCGTCCTCGGCAAAAGAATCGCTTAATCTACGTTCTATCCTAGATTCAAGGTCTTTATCTACTTCAACTAAACCAAACATTGTTTCACATTCTGATAAGACTACTTCCAACTGCTGAATATCCTTCTTTTGTTCATCGTTAACTTTGAAACTAGATAACACAGTTAACCTTAGTTTGTAATGATTAATCTTGGCTTTACGTCTCAAAGAATCTACTACCCTCTTCTCTTTTCCACATTCTTCTATTTTTAACTTTAACTCTTCTAAAGCTACTTTAATTGTCTTTATTTCATCGTTTATAACTACCTTTTTAGCTATATTATACGCACTTGGTTCAATATTTAATTTTAAAACAGAACGTAATCGCTTTCTTAGGTCTGCAACAGTTTGATTAGTTTCTAGTTTAACATTCCTAATTGTAAGTTCATATTCAAGTTCTGTTTTAATTAATAGGTCCACATGTGCACCCATTTTGGACACAAAATACACTTAGTCCAGTTTATGCACTTTAAAACACATCTTCATTTGAAATAACTAGATATACTAGGTAGTTAGCAGAGTGGCGCATTTAATTTGTACCGTTTTACTTAAAATGTCTTTTAAACCAGTACAAATTTTTGTTAGTGTTCTTGTATAGTTGTATTCACACAGAAATTTAACTATTCAGGTTTTGGTTCTTGTAAATAATCAATAGTCTTTTAATTTCATTCCCATTTATTGACATTTTGCTCTCTGGTAGTTGAACCCCACAAAGGGGACTATGTGCACTAAGCAATTCACATTATACATAACTACTACACTGACCAAATGAGACCGGGCCACGTGGTCCGACCCCTTTTATAAGCTCGGTTGTGACGTAGGCACTCTGACTATCTTTTCATAGGATCGAACCCTGAACAGCCAATCAGAGAGCACACGGTGGTTGCAGGCTTACATCACGTTTTGACAAAACTAATAAGTTAACTGCTTTACTAAATGACAAAATTTTAAAATACAAATTTCTTAAAATTGTTACAAAATGTCCATGGTAACGCAATATCTTTGGTGATTTTTACTTTCTCCCCCTATACCATAGTATATGGAGAAAGTATTGTTTTGTCAAAATTTTCGAGTTTGAGTTTTGAGTGGATATATTCGTTTTGGGTCCCCCTGGACCCAAAAAAGTGGTTTTCGAAGTGATGTCTGTGTGTGTGTGTGTGTCTGTGGGTGTGTGTGTCTGTGTGTCTGGATGTGTACAGAGCTAGAGACTACACCTGTGGTCCGATTTCGATGAAATTTGGTATGTAGGTTCTAATCCATGGTATCTCCAGGCATTTTTTTCATTTTTTTGAAATTTTGATTTTTAATGGGGATTTTCCCATAAAAACCCATAAAAAACCGGAAAAATCGGATTTTCTCAAAAATGGCCCGAACGATTTTGATACAAATTTAGTATGTTGTAGCCCTTTAAATTCTGAACAAAATGGTACAAATCCCATTTCTGTAAAAATTACGGTTCAAAAGTTATGGTAAATTATGTTATTTTCCCATAAAAACCCCATAAAATAACGAAAAAATAGGATTTTAGACAAAAATCCGATTTTGATTTAACATTGTATGTTAAGGTCCTTACAATTGTGATAGTTTTTTCATTTTTTAGAAATTTTTATTTTTAATGGGGATTTTCCCATAAAACCCCATAAAATAACGGAAAAATAGGATTTTCCCAAAAATGGCCTGAACAATTTTGATAAAAATTTAGTATATTATAGTCCTTTATATTCTGAAGAAAATTGTACAAATCCCATTTCTGTCAAAATTACGATTCAAAAGTTATTGTAAATTATGTTATTTTCCCATAAAAACCCCATAAAATAACGGAAAATCAGATTTTTCCAAAATTGGCTCGAACGATTTTGATAAAAATTTAGTATGTTATAGTCCTTTAAATTCTGAAGAAAATTGTACAAATCCCATTTCCGTATATTTACTCTCACCGCTTACTTACGATAAAGGTTGTTGACAAGCTTATGGGAGAAAGTATGTGTCAGAATGCTGATACCGTTTATTTATTAATAGTGCATCTTTGATGGAAAAACACAAAATTTTGACAAACCATTACAGACATAAAACTGAATATTAAAAATAGTTAATATTATTTTTCTAACTGTGTTTTATATTGCTATAAATTAATTTACTTTTATGGCCATATTATACAATAAACTGCTCACTAAGCTCTTGGTATATTTGATCTTTCTAGAAAAAAAAAAACTAAAAAAATTGAAAAAAGCCAATAAAATCTTTTAAGTTTGTATAACTCTAATAAAAAAACTTACCTGAGACCCGAAAAATCGTTATGTTTTTATGGAGGTGTGCTTCTTTTGCGTACAAAACATTGAAATATGATGATATTTTAATTTTTTAAATTTTTATGATAGAAATCATAAACGTGATGGTCAGGGACAAGCGGTACGGTCGAGAATTGTCTGGAATAATCTAAATCTTTCTAAACAATCCTTCAATTGTACTGATTTTATTAGGTTTTTCGTGTTAAACCGACATCCCCAAAAACTCGTTAAAACGGACCACTTAAATGCATGCAACCCAAATATTTGACTTAAATTTAGGAGAGCATTGTGTTTATACATGTTATCGCTGGTCTCAAATCTTTCCCACGAGAACAGTCGTTTCAGTACCGTCCACCTCATACCGATCAAGTCGGGTTAAACAGATGTGCTGATAAAGTTGTCCGGTTAAAGAGATGACATTTCCGCCGAGTATAGTCCGGTTAAACCGATGTCCGGATAAGAGGGAGTCTACTGTATATCTATTCAAGAAGTTGTAGAATATTGATAAATCAGTGTAGCTTTGACTTTTATACGTTTAAACATTAGACTGGCAGTTTTGCCTTCTACGTTTGGTAAACTTTCAAATAGTGAAATTAATTAATCTCCTGAGAGAGAAATATAGCTTTGAAAATTGGGAATAATTATTGGATGATGGAAATAAACTTCCACTTGACTTGTTCTAGCACTTTATAGAAGACTTAACACGTTCACTGCTGAAAACCTTTACACAGGCGCTTCTAAACTGCCGTGAGGCCCGGGCGGAGCCCCGGCACGCTAACTGAATAAGCGATCGCTATTGGCATTGAAATATCCCAGTAAGACGAATCACAAAAGAGCAGTGGTGATTGTTCTGCGTTACCCTGAAAGTGGACGTAGTTCACTGAAACACCCAAAGGTAACATCACTGCCTGGATCAATAACCAGAGTCTTTGTAATACGGCTCGAATAGAGATAATCCCCAAAAACGGGACAAAAGCATTGCCGGTCTGGATTTGACAGGAATGTTTAGTACCAACCTACACCAAAATAAAGCTTGAATTCTAAGCTACAGGCTGGCAACAATTACAATGTTCCCCGGCAATGGTGAAGGACGACATTTCCCGCCCCTCGCACTGAACGTGTTAAGCTAAAAAAAACTTATTTTCTCCTAAACAAAGTAATCTTGAAACCAGTGTGTTATTTCAATGATCTGTTAAAAAAAATTAATCTCAGGCTTTATGTAGGGATTCGAGCCGCTTATCAAAATGGTTAAGGTTCTTACCTGCTGCTGCAACATAACCACTACAGCTACGTACACATGGAATCTTTGCAATGCACAACAGTATTAAATAAATGACTGAGTACACATCTAGTGGCGTGATTTGGCCAATGTGTGTCTCATAGGTCTCATAGACTTACAGAATATAAAGGGACAGCAAAATCTTACCAACAAATATTTCAAAACTATTTTTATTTTATAAATACTAATTGTTAATAATTACTATACATACACACATTTTATTTACAAAAAACTTTAACAATCATTACTTTTGAAAAGATAATGCAAAGTGCTTAAAATTGTATATATAGTGTTACATAACAAAATTATACAACATTTAGTTTAATTGATTGAAAAATTACAATGTAACATAAGATAATTTAGTTTCTTATCCTTAGACAGTCCTATTTAAAAAAATACTGGATATTTGTAATTGTGTCGACTAAACAATCTTCATAAATTAAAATAGTTTGGGTGTAGCTTCAGACCTACTTAGTTTAGGGCTCAATTAATTGTGTTAATGGTAAATAAATATATTCAATACACTTGATCGGTCTGTATAAAAATCCTAAAATTGGAAACAAATATCAGTGAAAGTAGAATATAGCACCAAATAAACTATAGATTGATTCTAATATATGTCATCTCTAAACTATACTGTAAATAAACATTAGAAATGCAATTTACAAATCTTGAAACTTTAAATGCAAACGTTTGAAAAATAATTAACAAAATGTACATTGAAGATTATTAAAACGTAGCACAATATCTACAAAACCACTACAAAACTGAATATAAGTATCTAAGGGTACATCACAGATGTTTAAGAGCACCAAATATGAGAAGATTGATCCAGAAAATTTGATAAACCCAGCTACACTTTGACTGTGTAAAATCGAGACACAAGTTATTTGAATTTATTTATATAAGCCTAAGTGTTTCCTAAAGGTAAGTTTGGGAAATGTATCTCTAACTGTTCAGTCTAATCATTTAATGTTTTGTAAATTAAGGGATGGTATTTAGGTGGGAGTAAATAATGATATTCGTTTTAATATCTATTTCCAACTTCACCGTGTAGCTGGGGTTGTCAAAAACAGTCATGTAATTGTTAAAATCTATTAAAACAATTAAATACACAAAAATAATTTGACTTATCTTTATTCCATTATTAATGAATAGTTATTTGTGTAATTAGTGTGCGTAGTGGTACTTTGCTGCCCATGTGTGGACAGTTTCTTGAGTCCAGCAAAGGCACTTTGCACTCGCGTTACACTTACACATTATATTTTTCCTACAGTTACTATATAAAGCATATAAATAATTATAGTCTTTCAAACACTAAACAACACGTTTTTAGGTTAGCAATAAAAGCACAATGTTTTGTGTTGTTTGGTTTGAATACTAGAGTGTGAAAAAAATGAGTGCGGTAAAAATTAAAATGAGTGGGGCAAAAGTAAGTAGGTACATGCAGCAATTAGCTACCTACTTTGTGTTTTATTTGATGCAGGGCTGTGCGAATAGTTCGAAAAACGAATCGAATCCGAATCTTTTTAGAGATTCGATTCGGATTCGAGAACGAATCTACTGTTTCTAACTGGATTCGGATTCGGAATCGATATTCGAATTTACTGGTAAGAGATCCGGGTTCGGATTTGATATTCGAATTTCTTGGAAATAGATCCGAGTTGGGATTCAATATTCAAATTTACTAGATTTTGATTGAATATAATTTTCAATATAATTTTTTAGACACTAAAAAACTACTTGTGCACTCCGATTTGCTTTTGACTGGTTCATGTTAGGAACCTGACCAACTTGGTGTTAGGTTTTAGGCACATTAGTGTAGGTCGCATTTGAACCCTATCTTGGCTATCAGTAAACTTAACCTCACAGTGTTAGTTGTTACTTGTAATAGTAATGCAGACATAGGCTTGTGTGGAGGATTAACACCGAGGTGTATAATAGGCTGGGCCTATGTTTTAGACTACACAAATTGGTAGTCCATCACTTTTAGCGAGTAACTTAGGCCTAGGTGGTATGCCTAACTTATGCCCAATTTTTTAGTTTCAAAACTTCAAATAGGTAGGCCTAAATTTTATAACTATTTTTATTTGGCCCATTTCAAGAATTTTTTTAAGCAATTCCCTAAGTTATTTCAGCCCCAGAAAATGTGGTCTAAAAATGTGAAAATTGGTACTGCTGACTTTCCTCGGATTTGGATTTGAATCTGAACAGGTTTAAATATTCGGATTCGATAACAGCTTTAAATTTCAGATTCGGATTCGATCCAGGTTCGATAATGGCTGTAAATTTGAGATTCGGATTCGACCCAGATTCGACACGGGATTAATTAAAATATTCGGATTCGATCCGGATTCGATAAAATCTGTACAGCTATGATTCGGATTCGGATTCGAACCAAAATTTCTGGATTCGCACAGCCCTGATTTGATGCAATGAAGGCACCTTAGCCCACTTTGTACGCTAACTGTAGGAAAAAAACATTATGAAAGTACAGTATACTTTATAAGGTAATTGACAGTTGTACCACAGTTGATTCCTTGCTTTGCTATAAACTGAAGTATTTTTCACAAGATATAGAGAAGAATCAGGTAGACCCAACAAATTATACTATAAGGAAACACTGGGCTGTGAAACCGAGACAAATCCCATTGTTGGCTGTATAGTTTTGCAAGACAAAAAGAATTTCAGTGTAAACAGTGATGTGTTGTAAATACACTGTAATATAATTTTTTTCGTCTTACTGCAGCAAAAACAGCCGTTTTTAATGTATGCGTTGCGGTTTTAAAAGTATCATTTTTACGCTCTAGGGAGTAAAAATCAGCTGTTGTAAACGGTAGTAAATTTCGATTGTGGCAATCGTATCGATCAAAATTATTTATCAATTGATTAATTATTAGGTAAGGTTTTAGGCTATTGTTGTCGATTGCTCGACATATCAATGGTATAATTTACTGTAACACAATCATAATTGTCTAAATGATGGAATCACTTACTAAACAACTACTTATTTGCATTAGCAGAATTGAAAACAAGCTGGAAGATGTTTTGAGAGGTTATCTTTACATAAAAATTATTTTGTTTTCTAGCTTTGTTTGGATGCAATATAACAAAAAATATAGTTCACCACACCGGAAAAAGTGTCTTTTTAACCCTCGATCGTAAAACATTACCTCGGGTCAAAAAGAGTCACCCCTCCTACTATTTAGTCACACTACAGCAAAAACAGAGGTTTTGAATGCATGCGTTGTGGGTCTAAAGTGGCATATTTACTCTTAAAGGAGTAAAAATCTGCTGTTGTCAACTAAGTTGTAAATTTTGATTTTAGTTAGTCGTTACATTACAAAAAAGTGACTTTTTAACCCTCGCTCATTTTCCGACCTCGGGTCAAAAAGAGTCACTTTAGGCCCTAGTGGTGAAATATACTATTAATGCTCTATAGACTTGTAACTAAAAGTAGTGGCAGGTATTTTAAACCTTTGATTTGTTTTCTTGTAGTTGATGTACAATGAGTATTTTAATTGGGCCATTTTTCTGCTGTGTACATTTTATCCATTAGTTTTAACACTGCAATAGTTGTATTCATTTGGGCAGTTTCGTGATGTTAAGGGATTACTTTTTTGTTGTTGTAGAACATTAAACGAAATATTAATCATGAAAAAGCTGTCTTACGTCAAATGAACAAATAATTTACGACCAACCAATGACAAGTCATAGTTTCTTCTCCAATATAAAACTTCAACAAAAATTAACAATTGTTATGGCATTATATTTGAAAATAAGACATGAGGTTTAAAACATTAACCAAATATTAGACATAACTAACCCGTTATCTAGAGTTTGAACATCAAATAAGAGATTAACTCAAAACTCCTCTATCATTAAATGTGCACATTCAATTCTGTTGCATTGTTGAATAATTGCAAGATTGTAAGAAACAAAAACATCTTTATTTTTGTTAATTTGGTCTTACCTCCATAGTTGTCAATGCATAAGGAAACATATGAGATTACCAAGAACTTAAGAAATCCTGAATATTAAGCTTGAAATGTTAATTAACTTAACATTGGTTTTTTACCTTTTTTCTAGTGCAATTAGATATTTTACAACAATACCTTTATGTTCCACAAGGATTGTCAGGACTGGACTGTAAAATCTCACAATGATTGTATTAACATGGCAGTGAAATGTTTAAAGTCTACAGTATCTATTGCTGAACTTGTTGTTAGCTCTGTAGCATATCTCAGGCAGATACATGGGCAGATCCAGATAGGGGGCTGTATACCTCACCCCATTTTTGGGGTAATAAATATTAAAAATGATCAAAACTATGAAGTGGACATGGTGAGGTTTGAATTTTACTCCTTGTATGCCTCCTTACTGTCCCAAAATGCAAGTTTAAAGTTACTTTGTTCAACATTTTCGGCTGCAGCCCCCAAAGATATTTGAAAGCAGCCCAATGACCGTTTAAAATCTGGATTTGCCCATGGCATACAGTAGAATCCCGCAAACTCGGCACTCGATAACCCGGCAGTCTGAATAACTCGGCCATCATCTGGCTCAGAAAATTTGTGATTTTTTGAGTCTGAGTTAAACATGGACTCAAGCCAGCTCAAGTCAAATCATTCACAACTCATACCAAGGGTTTGTTGTACTATATCTGATGACTTAATACTGACTTGTAATATAAATATAAATAAAAAAGGCGGTTAAAAAGCTTAAAAATGTTATTGTTCTTATTTTTAACCCTAGTTCCTGATAACCCGGCATTTCACAAACTCGGCACCCTTCCAGTCCACATTACGCCGAGTTTGCGGGACTCTACTGTAGTATAAAAATATGTTGTCAAAAATAGTTTATAATACCAGAATATAGTTAGTAGTCCTTGGTTGCTGTAGTGTCAACTAGTTTCAGTTTAGGTTGGACCATCATCAGGCTTTCAAGGAGTCAAACCTCCAATCTACAAGTTTAGTTTTAGGTTTCTTTCTTCTTTTCCACAATCAATAATTTTAACCGTTGGTGCCCCCAACAATAATTCACAGTCACTGCGCCTCAGTGCTGGTTTTGGTTGATTCCTGAAAAGTCCCCCATCTGATACACAACCATCTGGAAACTCTAAAAAATCTAAAAAACTAAAAAATAGGCATGGAGAAGTTTAATTGTACTCTACGTTGAACTCCCAAACAAAAATTTTGCTCAAAAAACATCTATTTGGCTATAGCATCTAATGAAATTATTTAAAAGTAGCCCCCCCATTCAAATTCCTGGATCCGCCAAGGGACAGTTACAAATGTTTTGCTTAAAGTGGTTTACAATACCGACATATAGTAAGTTAACCTTGGTTGCTGGTTTAACTAGTGCGAGTGGTCTGAACCACGAGTGTATTGTGACTTAAGGTAATTTGAATTACAATCAGTATTCAGTATTCAGTATTCATCACATTTTTTCCAGATGGTCGTGTGGAGACTCTTTTGAAATGGGCCAAAACCAGAACTGCGACACAGTGGGAATGACGTGTTGAAGGCACCATTGGGTATGAAGTGTTGGAGGCACTATCGGTTAAAATTATTGATTGTGGAAAAGATGAAGGAAACCTAAAATGTACAGCGCACAACAAAACTTGGAGGTCTGTTAGATCAACCTGATAACCGAAAACAGTTTAAACTCTTAATCAATGTTTAGGTCTAATATCTATCGCTGAACTTGTCATCAGCTCTGTAGTGTATCTCGGGCGGAAAGCCGATGTTTTTGGACCAGTGCCTCGTCCAGTAATGGTCCTCGGCAGCTACTTGTGCTGGCGTTTTGGCGTCCCTGCAGATAGCGACACAGTAGATCAGACTCCCAACTAGCGTCAAGAAACCGAAAATCAGGAACACTATCCCCAGGATCCTAAAACATAAATGCTCAAGTTAGTTGGTTATAAGTTATAACTATGACTCCTAGTTTGAGAATATCTGAAGACGATTTTAAAATATGTCTCTGTCAGGTTTATAAATGTCGTTTGATTTTATGCTATTTTTCATACAAATTTACCAAAATTTAAAGCATTCTAACCAAAATATAAAACAATATGCTACAACAGTCATCACCTGTGCAATTTGCTCAATCCTAGACAAATTTAAAAGCTTTTGTTTTTTTCTAAAATAATTTTGCCAGGTTTTGTTAGTTGAGTAACTTTTTAATGTCTGTTAGACAAACACATTTGTCGTCCTCATAGAACAGTTCCAGATGATATAAAATAGGGGTGTGCAAGTACTCATTTAATTTTCATGCAAGTATTTCAGCTCGACTCGAGCTTTACAAAATAAACTCAAAGAGTCAAGCTTTTTGATGAGTTTGCTGGAAGCATTCATATTTGCACAGCATAGAAAAACCAAAGAAAGATATTAAAACGTTTACATTAGCTCGCTTTCTTGTACGGTACAAATTTTGCAATCAATTTTAACTAACTTCCTCATGAGCTAGAGACTTGAAACTTGAAACATAGCTCACAAATGGATGACAATGCAATATTAAATCATTTCATTTTCATATTTCTCTTGGATATAGGCTCCCTAAAAAGAAATTATTGTTTACATTTTGGAAGAATGTAAATATATCAATTGAAGTCAGCTGTAAATACTTTAATTTTACAGTTTTTTCAAAGAGCAGAGGTTAAGAGGTACAGGTTCTGCTCCCGAGAGATTCTAAAGTTTTATGATTATGAGAGTAGTAGCAACAGCATCTGTTTACAGTTAAAAAGGTTTTGGTTGTGTATTAACAGGCCATTTATAAAATAGATTTACACATTAATGACAAGGGAAGAAAATAATTTGGAGAGATTAAATACTTGTAAGATTTAAAACGAAAAACGTGAGGCACATGCAATAGCTAATTTACAATTATCTTCACCTATTAAACTAGTATTATCTATTGCATGCATCCCACGTTTTTCGTTTTACCACCTCCCCCCTGGTAAGTTGGATAGTTGGAGGGAAAAAGCAGGGTCCAAGAACACCATCAAAAATACCTCAAAAAAGGTGTGAAGTACAATTTTGAGGTTAGGTTCCCCACACAATGCTACACTACAGTCATTATCGTTATTCTATTCCATGTCACTAAATCCAAGCCAAAACCCCACAGTACACTGTTCAAAGAGCACTTATACAGTAATAAGATACAAATATAACTCATTCAAAAACAAATTGTACCTACTAAAATTACATACAAAACTGGCACTACACGCGGCGTGGATAACAACGTTCCCCGCCGAATGCTGGGAGCGCAGTGCTTCATTTATAGTAGGCCACGTGCAGTACTAGTGTTAAGGTACTACAATTATAGAAGCCACAGCGTGTTAACAATTATTTCCTAAGGTATGTGTCTCAGACATAACAATTTTGTTGTACGTATTTCAAAACTAACTTACTTATATGATATGACTATATATCTTATCAATACCATTTTTAGTCTTTCCAGGGCCAAAACAGCTTGCAGAGACCTGATACTATATTCAAGGTAGGTGGAATGAACCTCCCACCCAAACAGTGGACACTGAGGTGTGTACATATCAAGTAGATCTCTCATATATTATATATGAAATTTTCAGTTATATAGATCATGATTAACATAATTTAATGATCACCCTTTATTAAAATCTCTTCCTAATGGATTGCCCAGTCTTCATAGTTTAAGCTTTGACTACAATAGTCAATGGTTTAAGTAAAGGTCTTCCACGGCTTAGAACCTTATTGGATTCCTCGTCAAGGTGAATAAATTTTTGTTATTATTTCGGACAAATAATTAAAATAATGAATTTACTTAAACTATCTTTTGCCTCTGACTGAGCCACCAACTCACCAAAGTACACAAAACTTACCACGACAAAAAAACTAGCCTTAAAAACAAAACCTACCAAACAAAAACTGGTTGGAAGAACTGCACCACTATGACGATGCCTAGTGTGACGAGGATGAGGCCAAGGTTCAGCAGCAGCATGAGGCAGCACATCCCTCGAGTGTGAGGACAGAACGGGTTGGGAGCAGACATCGTCTCAATCACCAAACCCCGCTTGTGGTCCACCTGAGGAAACATTTGTGTTCAGCTAATGCTGTAAGTTAAAAAAAAAAACAAAGCAAATGTCCAGCATTGTATGTGTGACCGCAGGAAACGAGATGTCTACAAGTCCGAGGAAGATATTAAAGATTTGGCCACAATCACGGAAAACGATGATGAGTTTCCATGACAGCAAGTGACAATGATGATTTCTGCAAGACCGTGGAAGGTGTGCAAGATTTTGCCACACCGACCATTAGATATATTTGTCTGCGATTACAGAAGACAATAATGATGTTTCCGTGACCGCAGGTGACGATGATGATTTCTACAAGACCTTAGAGGGGTGCAGAATTTAACTGCTATCGCAAAAAACAATGACGATGTTTTTGTGAGCGTGGGAGACAATGAAAAAACAACCCCACGAGAGTTTTTGGCTTTTGCCCCGATCACGGCTCCTGCCTTCTTTAACAACAATTCGTATTACTGAGCTTTTAGGTTTTTTTATTCATTATTTATGAGATTTGGGTAATCAGCGATTCTAGTAGTGAAAATCGGATGACTATTTCAATTTTTCTTTTTCCAACAAATTGTATTGTATACTAAAAGGTTTGGTAATGTATGTGGTACTAAATTTACCACAATTTAGGCAAGGCTTCTCTTACCATTTGAAAGCCATCAAGTTGGTTTTCCTAATTTTATTGCCTTCAAAGCAAAAAGGGAGGGAGATAAAAACGTCATACAACTACAATATAAACTGCAGCTTCCTATCAGTAACATAATCATTACTTATGTTTGGTTTAATCTCCAAAAGCATTGTATATTTTGGTCTTAATAATGATTTCTACTAATTTTATAGAGGTTTTAGTTTTTAATGAGATGTGATAGTTTTCCAATTAAGAGGGTTTTATAAAAAGGAAAAAATATGCTACTATACCTTGGTTTTGATGGTAGAAACTTCTGATGGAGCTCGGTAGGAGTAATGACTTGGCGCATGTCTGCTGTAACGGCTGTGACGGGATCCGCGACTGAAAGAGACACTGACATCGTAATTATATAGTCATTGGCTTGACTGCCACTGAAACTTGTTTCTTCAGATTAAATTAAAGTTTTTATGAACATAATTTCACAGATTTAACTCTATCATGAACTCAATAAATGTTTGTAAAATTGTATAATGTTTGTTTTACATTTCTTCTGGACTATAAGAATCAATTTGAGTTTCATCATAGCATAGACTCAATTGTCTTTTTGTAAAGTTTGGTAGTGATATTTCTTTTATGCGTACTGTACTTAAATTTTTAACTAAACTTGAACAATTCCCCTTATTTCATTTACACGATCAAATAAAAGCTTAATAAAAACTTCTATGAATAATTGGCAGCTTTATCCTTTCTGCCCTGAGGTAAAGCAGAAATTATGAGGAAAAAACATTTGAGTTTCAAAGTAAAAAGAGGGTATCATAGAGAGCTAGGGATAGCACTATCCCACTAGTATCTTAGATGATGCACTATGATGCACTAGTATCATAGATTGCAGATCAACACTAAGAATGGACTAACATAGTTTGAGTGCTTCACTTATTGTATCTGTAATAATTACTGATTCCAAGAAAAACAGAATCTATCTATCTATATTATTAATACGCTACATGAAACTTTGTAAACGATAAGGCTTTTTCGTTTTAAGATTTAACACCATATACCAAAATGCTCCTCTAGGTGTGTAGATTTGCAAACTGACCTTAATTTTTTTTTAAAGTCCCTTGGGCTCTGCCCCAGTGGCTTTTAAAGTCCCCATGTTATCCTTTAAGAAGAACATATTTTCTGTTTAAATTATGATCAGCTGGATAATTTAATTGCTATTACTGTAATATTTTACTTGCAATTTAAGCAAACGTTTGCTACAAACATTTACTGACCGGGTTAAAATGAAATATTTACTATTTTAATTTGGGTTGTAAATATTCCAATGGAAAAAAGCCTGGACAATTTGATATACTAAAGTGGAAACTAAATTAACACTGTGCTGCATTTCTTGAGCAATCATTGAAACAGCCGATTTGCAAACTATGAAAACATAGGAAAGTCATAGAACACCACCAAGTAGAAGAAATAGAAAAATATTGTTTAAAAAATTTTTAATCATTATTATGGACAACCTAATGCGGCTATGAGTGGGAAACATTTGTAGAAAACACTAAAAAACAAGATCACCTTTTGAAAAATTTAAAGATATTTACAAGATGTTGATTATATTGTTATGTACATTGTGAGTATTTCCATAATCTTTGAGTCGACTCTTTTAAAGTAAATTATGACTGCCATTTGTTTTAAAATAACAACTGTAATACATCGCAATTGCTCGAATTCGAGCAACAGGTACTCTAGTCTATATTATTGAAAGAATTTGTTGAATTTTTGTGTGCAGAAAATCGACCCCTAAATATTTTTAAGAGGGATACCGGTATTGGGTATCATTTTAAAGCTCTTATCCTCTAGATGTGCCTTGCGGGTTTGGATGATATCCCGTCAAAGCCCTTCATCCTATAGGCTTTTAGAATTTAATAGTTTGTGCTGAATTCTGTTGTCAATCATCTGAACTTTTTCCAGTATGATACTATTTTGTTTTTACCATACAAAAATGGTGTTATCTGTAGTTGGTGATGTTTCAGTGAATTCTAGTAAAATGTTGTAATGTATTTGTATAAAATGTAAAGAAGAAAATGACTTACGTAAGATATTGTGTTGTGAGAGGATTTTGTGTCTTCATAGTATGATTTATTGATGTTTTAGAGAATTTAAGTAAAATATGATAATGTTAGTTGTGTAAAATGTAAAGAAGAAAATGACGAAGGCCTACATTAGATTTTGTGTTTTCATTAGTATATTAGGTCAAAATTAGATTTTTTGACAGAATAAAATAACCACTTCCAAAACATTCCCTCTCTGGAGTTTAGCCTTTTGACTCCCCAATGGATATGTTGACTATGATGAGTTGAGTGCAGAATATCTACCTGATCTCAGAGGGTGGTCTATAGGCAGCACTAGTGACATAGATGTCTGAACCTTCCTCAGGGTAGTAACGCTCCTCACTCCGCGTGCGCCGATCCCTCTCTCTGGAGCGTGATCGAGGCCGGTGTTTGCGCGGTGGAGGAACCACTCGCGCACGCTCGTTGGTCACCGTGTACTCGGACATCGTCCTCTCTGAGGCTGCTCTCTGGCTGTCTTCTCCTGAAGAAACAAAAGCTTTTAATTACAACATCAACTCACTGGGGTGCGTATGTTTAGGCCAAGATGGTTGAATGGAGTTTTTACAGCTTATATAGTCAGTTTAGCTTATGGAAAATCAGCTATATAGTCCTTTGGACAGGACCATTTTTATTAAAAGGAGGGCAGTTTTAAAACCACCAAAAAGCTTCAGACCTTTCTTATGGTCACACCGGTGATATTCTGATCACCAAACTAGCACCATAGCTACTCAGCTACGAGTACCCAATTTTATAGAGGCAAAGGGTTTAAGTTTTCATAGGCTAACAACTTTTTTAATTTTCAACAATTAATTTACACTCTTACTCCCTATAATCATAATCCTATCCTATACTCTAATATGAGCAACGTTTGCTTGTATGTATGTATGCTTGCACCAAGATCTCAAAAACTGCTCCGACGATTTTCTTTAAATTTTGTAAATAGTTTATTTTTGGCCTAAAAACGAGTTTACTGCAGTTAGAACTGCCGACAAAAATTTAATTACGTCGAAAAATTAAACAGAAAGTCACATTTTTTTACATTAGTCTTATGGGTTGCTAAGTAACCATCTTGGCTGGATTAAATAACAAGGAAAAAGTAAACAAAAGACTTGTAAGTAGTCTATCCACAGTATACTAGCAAATTACAAAATATACAGTACAAAAGGAAAAGCATCAGTTGTTACGATTGAGAAAAGATTATACTGAAGATTACTCAATACATTGTAGCAGGACTTTTTCTATCGATGATTGTAGTAAAGGCTAGCAGTGTGGAGTGTGGGAACTGCTTATGACGATTAGATTAAGGTTTCTGCAATCCTAAAATGCTGCGGGAAGGGAGGTAAACAAGTCCGCGAGTTAGGAAGTGGTAAAGGAAGTAGTAAAGGTGAGCAGTCCGGAGTGTGGGAACTGTTTAAGACGATTAGATTAAGGTATCTGCAATCCTAATATGCTATGGGAAGGGTGGGAATCAGGTCCGCGACGTAGGAAGTTGTGAAGGGAGTAGTCAAGGCGAGCCGTCTGGAGTGTGGGAACTGTTTACAGTATAACAATTAGAGTAAGGTATCTGAAGTGGTTTTAGCTCGTCTTCAAATCTGATGGATTCTGTTCGATTCCAAGAGCGGTCGATTCTGGACAAAGATGTCACTTATCACTGGGCTGTCAATTAATTGTGCTATCTAACAAAAGGTTGATGATAGAGTTGGATGGTAAAAAGATCAGGGCTCAGATTGTTTGTGTCTTATAATAAACGTAAAAAATTCTAATTAAGAAAATAAACTGATAATTACTTGTGGAAAGAACCAGACAACTCAATTTCTCGTTTGTTTCTGAACACTCTCTACATAGCTTACGGGCTTAACAAGTCAGTTTTGTTTTGTAAACTAGAAACTAGAGTAAAGAAATTTTGTTTTACTAGATGCTACTAAATTGTTAAGGAGGGTAAAAGTAATTTGGCTGTAATTACGGTGTTTGTGTGTGTGTGTTGTGTAGTTGTTCCATAGATAGAAAAATAGAGACACGTTTTGACATTGTAATGCAAACTGTTTTCCCCTTATCACCAAACTACTTGAAAGTACAAATAATATCAATATAAAAAACAAACAGATAGGGAATACAAATAATGAAGTAGTGTAGATTAGGTACTAATTTACAGACGGCTTTCCCAACCACAATTATTTCAAACCAATTTTCAAACATTGTTTAGTCTACCTACATAAAAATAATCTATAATAATTTAAATACTGGTAAACAAATGGTGGGCTTGTAAAAGGAATTATGTTAAAACATAGGAATAGACATTAAGAGGAGAAGCCTTTTTTACACAGAGTTTCCAAGCTAAAGGTCAAATTATACCTGAGGCGTTCTTTTACATTCTTAACTAAATAACAAGTTAAATATATATGTTCACTGATGAAGACACACTTTACAACCTGTTGGCATTTCTGTAAAATTCCATTAAAAATCACTGAAACTGACAATTAGAATACATATGGTACAAAATATATGCAAATTATCAAATTTATTATTCATCACTTGAGTTTAAAATTATTGATAAAATACTTCTATTAATTAATTGTAACAACTTAAACAAAAAATGTATAAGAAAATAAAGATAAAAGTCTTCTTTTTCAGCTGTTAAATTTAGCCCAACAAAAATGTGTTAAATTAAGGCAAGAGTTACCAAGGCCCAACTAGAAAAAACAGGCCATGCTGCAGCACGGACAGCGCAACACGTCACAGTGGTGGATAGTTGTACTAAACTCTTACCATTAAAATCTTACAAACAGCCATTGAGATTAGCTCAGTGCAAACAGCCAGCTAGTTTATTTACCTAAAACATATGGGAATGGTGATGGCAATTAATTTATCAATGAAATATATCCGCTAGTGTGATGTCATGGATCCTGCAGCATGGCCTGTTTTTCTCGTGGGGCCTTGGAGTTACACATTTGCCTGGTTTTGATCGCTATTGAGCAATTTAATTTGTTTTTTCGTTATGGTAAACTGTTTACTGATATAATTATGTTCATATGTTGTGTGTGATTACTGCAACCTTTGGAGTGATCCAGATGACTTACAGCCACAGCACACAACTCATTTACAATGTGTGTTATTACACCACTGAATACAAACCCTTTGTATTCATTGGTTATACACATTCCAAAAACGCCTGTAACCCTTCAACAAATGACTTACCTGCCAGTGTTGAACTTAATTAGGTACTTAATTATTCGTTACCAAGTTGCCCTCAAATTGCAGATTGCAGTGAAATAGGAAATAGAAATTTAAAATGCTAGTTTAAAAAAGCGTGTAAAACCCATACAAAAACTCTTCAACAATAAACACTTCTCAAACCTTCAAAACCCTGAACCAGACTATTTAAAACAAACTCCAACAACACCTTATCCCAAAAGTATTGAAAACTAATACCACCCTGGATGTCATATAACCCAAAGTCATGCTGACACACACACAAGTTGTTAGTGTTGAAATAACTGTGGGTTAGTGTCCAACAGATAATAGTAACCTACAAAGATTCAAGTGCCGGAGTAGAGGTGCAGAAGTAAAACTAATAGAGAGAGATGGATATGGTACCATCTGTGTAGTATCCCCTCTCGTGGTAGTGAGGCGAGGGTACATGAGTGGCCACGTAGTGATGCTTGCCGACCTTACGGACCATGGCATCCTGCAACAAGCATTGCCGTAAATTTCACTTCACTTAATCCCGTGGTTAAGACAATTACGTAGTTAGTGTATGTATATTTTTAGCTGAATTAAAGTAAGGATTGTACAGATGATTGCAAAGAAGGAGTCAAATGATGGCTGTGTGACATTGTTGCTGACTTAAGATCAGCTGCTATGTTCTAGGACCATAAAAAAAGACCAATGAATGACCCAAGAAAGCGTGGTCCAGGTTTGAACCATCAAAAAGTTAAATTGGTTACCTTCTGATTTTAAGTGGAGCACTACAACATAGAACCACTCAGCTGCCCTGCAAGTAGGCAGTAGACTTATCATCGTAATGCAAAAATCTGCTCACCTGCCAATCTAAATGTGTTGATCTATACCAAACAGAAAAATTGCATTCCTTAAAATTGTCTTCAACTGATCAATTAGAATGTTTAAAAGGGAGTATTTTATGTATATGCTAATGCTATATCCTACCACCAGTACTATCTAGCATTTATTATCTGTTTTATGGACTTGACCAACATAGCAAATGACAGAACATCAAAGTTTTGAGGCAGTTTTGATGCAGCAGTGACTGACAGCTGTGAAGCTGACTCGGTGACCCGTGATGTCACACTTGGTTGGTTTCCCTCTCCAACAACCAATGTACCTGTTCTGTTATATCCCAGTGCAGCTATAAAGCCTAAGATGAGTCTTTTTAACTAAAATCCTATAACGACAATACGACAACTTATATGGAAGGTAAATGTGTCGCTAGTCTTAAGAGAGTACGCTTATGACTTACTAGCTGTTGTACCTGTACTTTGCAATGGGAAGAGGACACAAAATGGAATCATTTTGATCTTTACATCTATTGTATAAAATATACACATCCACCAACGCTTTTAGAAACAAAATTCAACCTTAATTGCCTTTATAGAAACGTTTGTGGATTTTAATACTGGCAAATAGTGATATCCGTCATTTTGCTTTTAATTTGCAATCTTGTGTAGGCTCTATAAAGGTTTTTAAATAACCTACCACCATTAATAGTCAAATCTACCACATAGTTGTGTAAAATATTGTATTTAATTTCTTTGGATCAGCTGTCTGAAACTGTGAAATATGCAATTTGGCAGTTCTTTTTGTTTACATTGAAATGTCAAAGCAAATGTAAACAAACATATAAGTGTTCTCATTGCAGCCATGGTGACAAATCAAAATTGACTTTTTTAAATCCTCACCTCAGAACTTTTAAAGCCAAAGGGGCAAAGTCCATGGTCTCAAGGTCAGTATCAAAGTGTGAATAGTCCTATTACCATTCTTGGTATGGTAGCTATATTTTTGTAAAATTAAACTGCAGTCTAATTAGCCCAGTTGGTTCAGTAGTTGTTGTACCTAATAAGTATTACCATTGACTATGTATTAATAGTCAAAGGTATTACACATACAGACAGATACCATTAGATTTTTATAATAGTATAGATATAAATATAGAAGTATAGATAGATGTAGTAAAAAATAAACTATCAATTAAAATACATGTGCTTTAAGAAGATGTAAAAATGAAATCATTTCCCTACTTCTCCAAAGTTTAAAAAAAAATTATGTAAATTAATTATGTGAAATAAAAATTAATGTACAGATAGTCAGGAGTCACTACACCAACCAAATTGCCATTTCATTAAACCACTTCCTGATTTACCCTGAGCTCACCATCACAACTTTGTTGTATTGCGCCAACACTAAAATTACTGTATAACAAAACTAACAAGAACTCAATGCGAAAATGTTTGATCTATATATTTCAACAACCAATCCTGCTGGAAAACAACCACAAGTCGGCCGCAAATAACAAATATGTCCCCAAATGCCCGCAAATCGGGTAATTGGTTGTAGATTGGCAACACAGAACACAGGTCTGCGCACCGCTTAGTCACGCAGGCGCAGTCGACCTTGACCGCGCGCTCGGCGCAGGCGTCAAAAGAGCACTACTGTTGTGTTGAGTTTGGTTTGTTGCTCAAGCCAAAACGATAAAAAGGTCTACCGATGATTGCTTACTGCCAATCGCATTTCAGTCATCAAAGCGTTGTCTAAACTATGATCTAAACAAGAGTCACTCAACTCATTTACGTCGTTTGAGTATCGGTTCGTTTCGCTGGCTAAACTCAGGCGTCAAAATCAAAGGATACTGTTGAGGTTTGTTTGGTTAGCTGCTCAAATTCAAATCAAGCGTCGTTGTGACACTACTGTTGTGGTTTGTTTGGATGGTTGCTCAGCTCAAGCGTCGATGGTGTGTGTTTTACTTGTTGGTCTGCTCATGCAGGCGTTATAAGACTCTACTGTTAGTGTTGGGGTGTGTGTACGTGTTTTTCCCCTTTTTTACTGGCCAGCTCAAACTTTAAAGCAGCACTACACTACGGGGAGGATTGAATTTTTTATCAGCTCAGCCATAGCCGTCTCTAGTCAGCTCAAATTAAGGAAGTATTACTGTTGTGTTGTGTTGTGTTTGTGTAATCAGCACAATTACACAAGCTCCAAAGAAGCACTACTGCTAGGATGTGTTCGGTTGGGTGCTCTGCTGTTGAGGGTATATTACTACTAGAATATCAGTTGGCTTCCTATCCAATAGTCAATGCTAATACTTATTAGAGTTTGAATTGCCGCGTTCACGTTTTATGCACACCGCTGTTTGGAAATAATTACTTGTCAGAGTTGACATTAGTTAAAGGCTTGTTGATAATTGGATTTTTTATAACACGATGAAAGGAAAATTTTTTCAGTTGGTCAGCAAATTTTTAAATTACCAAGGCACGAACGTTTGTTATGAACAAAATATAATAAAAGTCAAATTAACTTAATAAAACACAAAATGACAGCTGCAAATGACCAACTGCAGCGCGGGTAGCGCAACACTACGTCACAGTGGTGGATAGTTGTACTAAACTCTTACCATTTAACATCTTACAAACAGCCAGCTTGTTTATTTACCTAAAACATATGGGTATGGTGATGGCAATGAATTTATCAATGAAATCTATCCACTAGTGTGACGTCATGGATCCTGCAGCATGGCCTGATATGTATCATCTGTTGGCTAATTAACATGATTAAACAACAAGCAGTAAAGATAAGTTCTGCAACGCGTCCATAAGAATGAATGTGCTCACACGCATAGCTAGCATGTCTAAAGCTTAAAACCGTTTTAAAATAGTATGATGTCCAACAATGGTATAATTTTGACTGGTATATTTTAGTATATTGACTGGTTAATTTCTAAGAACAAGGAAACATAAACCTCGTAAATTAGAACATTCGCCGGCAAACATTATATACCACGAGGAGGACTGCAGGTTCATCATGTTTTATTCACATCGACCTCGAGTTCTGGACATTAGCACAGTTCTTTCCCACCTCAAATGTCCTTGTTTACCTTATCATTATTTCATGACCTTGTACCCTTACAGTTTGGTTGCAATCTTCTTGAATGTGATATGTTAGTGTGATTAAGTCCGTTATGCAGATTTGTTTCTCCAAAGTCTTTTACCAATGGTTTGCCATCGATTCACAATATTAGAAATATTATCTTCTCGCCATAAGGCAAAAACGGCAATCGGGTAAAAATTGACATGTTTAAATACGTCAATTATAATAATATACAATAAATGCCGCGATTAAAGATTTTAGCTTGTGTTTGAAGACTTCATTTAAATACGTTTTTTGAAGGGTATTGAATAAGTTATTTTTTAACGGGTAAAAGAAAAAACATATTTTGGACTCAGTTACGATTATGCCTAATTAATTTAAAAAGAATTAATTATTACAGTTTATTTCATTTCCTGAGAATTTAATAAAGTATCATGATTTGTTATTGAACTGGGGTAATTTTTATTATTTGGTCGTCTTTACAAAACTGAGAATAAAAAATGGAATATATAACTTCTGAGCTCTACCTTAGAACGGCTCGCTCCCCGAAAAAGAAAATCACAGATCTCTTATAATTTTAATACCAAACCTAGATATGATAAGTACAACAGTATAGCTTAGGACAAATTGATGTTTTTTACGCCTTTGTCTCGTCTTAACTCTTGTCCTCTGCTTGATCACCCATCTAACCAGTTCGCTGAATATTTAACATTACAATTTTGTTTCTCAATAATTTATAATTATTATATTTACATAAACATTCAGTGTTGACTTGTAATTTCTACAGGCATTGTTTACAACGCAGCATAAACAACATGAAATTGGCATGTTTTTGGCGGCAATTCGTAAACGAACAACTTTAACTCCATTTTTATGTACTGTAGTTAGGATCATGACCAATTATTATGGAAAATAATTGGTTTGGCGTAATAGTACATTATTTTGCGATCGTAGTGTTCTCACTTAATACGTGTTATTGGGCGGAGCGAGCGAAGCGAGCGTAGCTCTTTGGGATCAACTTCAATGCAACAAATAAAGCAACATCACTCAATAACGGCAGAACACATTTCAGCTAAACTTAACAAGATTACTTTTAGACTAATAGTGAGATGGTTAATAAACAAACAAATTTCAGTTAGATAATGCTAATGCAATTTAAAACGAACTTAAAATTTCCAAATTTTAACATTAGGCTTATGGGACTAAAGTAGCCATATGAAAGTTTTTTGTTTACAAGAAAAATGTAAACAAGAGAATCATAACGTATTTCTGAAGTTTCTAGACTTTTCTTTTAAACGTTTTTAAACCATTCCAATGATTTTAATAAACAAGAAAATGCCGTTAAAACATTTTTTAAGGCACGGAATTCACTGAAAATCGAGAAAATATACGGAACTACTTTCTCAATGCGCGGAGCATAAACAAGGAGCGGAGGGATACGGGCCAGTGACTACTTTCTTAGGAACCTATATTTGTGTTGCCAGCTGATTAGAAACAGCCAATGTTAGAAATCAGGATTTAAATAAGCGATATATCGAACCGCATCGAAATCGATATTTAATCCGATAATACATCACAGGTTATATTATG